TAGTTTCTCAAATAGTTGCTGCGTTGATGCAAAAAGTTCAAACTATGTAAACAGGAAATGGCAACAAAGCGGGTTTATCACTGGGTTGCATTGTCTCCTCCTCGAAACACAGTGTGAAAGGGACTGTTTGGATTTTAATAAATATCTTACATGTGTAGATAACTCTTAAAGAAATACATTTTATTTCTGATTTGATTGAAGACCTAACAGCCAGTCCCTGTAAAGCAGGTTCTCAAACTCAAAAAAAGTTTCAGGGACCCCCCTCATGTTTATTAAATAATTTTCTTCAATTTATGTTTTTAATACAATGGAAATATGTATGTAATATGAATAGTTAAGATTTGATCTTTAATAGTGTTAATACAATTTTTATACTTTTAAACATGGGGTATTTTTCATTCGAGACACACTTAATTAACAGAATTTTTCATTTCAACTTCCAAAAATTACAGTTTTGAGAAAATTAACAGTATCAAAAAAACACTTTAAAACTTTACCTATTCACTTAATGAACATAATAAATGTATTGCCACGTCTTCAAATTATTACAGAAAACTTTTTACATAAAACTGAATAAAAGCATAACAGTAGTAGTAATACCAATTAACAGGGTTTAATCTATAAACCAATCATTGCTGGAATGCGAATAGTGGGTGGGCCAGCAGGGAGGGGGCGGAGTCTGGGGGATCCTCCACTAGAAAATTTTGAATAAAGTAGATGTGATTTCCTGCATTTTGGTGTATTTTAATGGGTTGTTAAACATCTATGTGCTTGTCAAAATATATATATTATTTTGTTGTTTTTTGCGGACCCCCCAAGCACTGGCTCACGGATCCCCGGTGGGTCCAGGGACCCCAGTTTGAGAACCATTGCTGTAAAAGGCTGAGCATCAAGCAGATTTATTCTGTCCTAAACTTGTTGGGGTCTGAAAAAAGTTAGAAAAAAATCACAATCGATACAAAAATGTACAGTGGGGAGAACAAGTATTTGATACACTGTTGATTTTTCAGGTTTTCCCACTTGCAAAGCTTGTAGATGACTGTAATTTTTATCATAGGTACTCTTCAACTGTGAGTGATGGAATCTAAAACAAAAATCCAGAAAAATACAATGTATGATTTTTAAATAATTAATTTCCATTTTATTGTGTGAAATAAGTATTTGATACACCAGAAAAATGAAACTTAATATTTGGTACAGAAACCTTTGTTTGCAATTACAGAGATCAGACGTTTCCTGTAGTTCTTGACCAGGTTTGCACACACTGCAGCAGGGATTTTGGCCCACTCCTCCATACAGATCTCCTCCAGAGCCTTCAGGTTTCGGGGCTGTCGCTGGGCCACACGGACTTTAAGCTCCCTCCAAAGATTTTCTATGGGATTCAGGTCTGGAGACTGGCTAGGCCACTCCAGGACCTTAAGATGTTTCCTACGGAGCCATTCTTTAGTTGCCCTGGCTGTGTGTTTTGGGTCGTTATCATGCTGGAAGACCCAGCCACGACCCATCTTCAGTGCTCTTACTGAGGGAAGGAGGTTGTTGGCCAAAATCTCACGATACATGGCCCCATCCATCCTTCCCACAATATGGTGCAGTCGTCCTGTCCCCTTTGCAGAAAAGCATCCCCAAAGAATGATGTTTCCACCGCCATGCTTCACGGTTGGGATGGTGTTCTTGGGGTTGTACTCATCATTCTTCTTCCTCCAAACATGACGAGTGGAGTTTAAACCAAAAAGTTCTATTTTTGTCTCATCAGACCACATGACCTTTTCCCATTCCTCCTCTGGATCATTCAGATGGTCATTTGCAAACTTCAGACGGGCTTTGACATGCGTTGGCTTGAGGAAGGGCACCTTGCGTGCACTGCAGGATTTTAATCCTTGACGGCGTAGAGTGTTACTGATTGTTTTCTTTGAGACTGTGATCCCAGCTCTATTCAGGTCATTGACCAGGTCCTGCCGTGTAGTTCTGGGCTCATTCCTCACCTTCCTCAAGATCAATGACGCTCCACGAGGTGAGATCTTGCATGGCGCCCCAGACCGAGGGAGATTTTCCGTTATTTTGTATTTCTTCCATTTTCTAATAATTGCACCAACTGTTGTTGCCTTCTCATCAAGCTGCTTGCCTATTGTCCTGTAGCCCATCCCAGCCTTGTGCAAGTCTACAATTTTATCCCTGATGTCCTTACACAGCTCTCTGGTCTTGGGCATTGTGGAGATGCTGGAGTCTGATTGATTGAGTGTGTGGACAGGTGTCTTTTATACAGGTCACGAGTCCAAACAGGTGCAGTTAATACAGGTAATGGGTGGAGAACAGGAGGGCTTCTTAAAGAAGAACTAACATATGTCTGTGAGAGCCAAAATTCTTACTGGTTGATAGATGATCAAATACTTATTTCACACAATAAAATGGAAATTAATTATTTAAAAATCATACATTGTATTTTTCTGGATTTTTGTTTTAGATTCCATCACTCACAGTTGAAGAGTACCTATGATAAAAATTACAGTCATCTACAAGCTTTGCAAGTGGGAAAACCTGAAAAATCAACAGTGTATCAAATACTTGTTCTCCCCACTGTAGTTGCAACACAATAAAGTTTTGGTAAGTCCAAGTCACGGAGCCTCAGAGGAACTTAGAATGTGTGTTATAAAAACATGCTCGTCTGTGAAGACTCGGCGTAATGTTCAGTCTTAGAGGCTGCTACAACTCCTGGACAGATTGCAATGATTCAAATCAATCTCTCAGCAGGCAGAGTCCTTTATTTAATTACCCCCCTCAAAAACCCAACAACCCCAGTCTCAGACATTTTGTGGCTTTTCATGCAAACACTATTTTTATTAACTTTTACACCCTCATAAATTGTGCACACCGTGCTTATTCTGGCAGAAATATTGCGATATCTCTGAGAAGCTAGCAGAAAATCATTCTGTAGTACTTGCTTATGAATGTTGTGCTTCTTAAATCTTTCCACCTTGTTAAAAACTGTATTGAGAATCACGATTTTTAAGTCAGTCGTAAGTTTGATGTCGTCCTTGATATTATGATAAATTTACTGAGACAAACCAGTATGTCAGAGACAAATATTATTTTTCATTCTTGTTTCATGAAACAAAAAACAAATGAAAAAAATGTTTAGTGGGTCAGCAGTGCTTTTGATTTCATCATGAACCTAATATTTTTAGTGGTATGGACTTCCACCACACCTGGTTATTCATGCACTTGTACAGTTTAATGAGAAGATTGTTTATATCTTGCTGAAATAAGCAAAGTCTTCTCTGAAAATGTTCATCCAGGTGGCAAAATGGGTTGCTACGATATAGTCCTGATGCATGCTCAATAATTCATCCATTCATCATCTTTACTTCCTTTTTCGGGTCGCATGTGTCACTGGTGTCCATATCCAGCCATCGCTATGTGAGAGGCAGGGGACACCCTAGACAGGTCTCCAGTCCATCACAGGGACACATAGAGACAAACAACCCTTCACTCTCTCACTCACACATAGAGACAATTCAGAGTTACCAGTCAGCCTAACATGCATGTCTTTGGTCTGTGGGAGGAAACCGGAAAACCTACACATGCACGGAGAGAACATGCAAACTCCACCCAGAGAAGCCCCCAGCTGGGATTTGAACCGGCGACCTGCTCGGTGAAAGGCGGCAGCTCTACTACCAACTGCTCCACCATGCTGCCCGCTCAACAATCCAGGTAGATAAATCTAATAAGGAAGATTCAGGTCCTCTGGATGGATTCTTTGTTGAAACGTTTCATATTTTATCCAAAAGACTTATTTAGTTAAAGTGTTAACCACAGATGTTGACTTAATGTACATGATTTACAAAAAATTGTCAAATTTTAAACTTATTTCATTTTACATTTCATCACATCTTTGGTAAGTGAGTTTGGGTTTTATTTTCCAACATATTTGAGTTTTAAGCAGCGTTTGGCAGCAAAGGACTGAGTTTTCTGAAGATGCCGCTCAGATATTTAATTTAGTGATTTAGCTGCAGAGTTATGTCTCACCTGAAAGACTCATCACTTCTTGTTTGTTTTTTGTTTTTTTTGGGGAAAGTGATTTTATCATTGTTGTTTTGTAATTTTCTGACTATGTTAAGTATATGTACCAAAGTAAAAGTAAAAAAATAAAAATCCCAAACTTTTAGCATGTTTTTAATTCTTGATTGTAGCGTTAGTGGCAACGAACATAACATATTGCAAGATTTAACACATTAATGTTGACTTTTAATTCCCCCATCCCAACATTTCTTAAATATTCTGCTTGTCTGAAATCAAAATTGAATTTATTAAACACATATCATTTGAGTCTGATCTTTATTTGTCTCCCTGCAGCATCTGTGGTCACAGAGTTTTACACTCGCCGCCATAAGAAGTTTGGGCGCAGAGGGTGCTGCAGCACCCCTTGATGAAATACACAGTTAACCAAAAATTAAGAATTCAACAATTTGAAATACTGATTTTATTAGAGCTGCATATGTTTAAATTACAATATTTAATGAGTTTTGTAATTCCGGTGTTATTGTACGGCTGTGCGGATTTTTTTTTAACAACACATTAAAATCTAAACAAATAAGTTGGCATATTGGCATTATGTCTTGAGTGAAATTTTATAGATATTATGCATCCCAAATATACAACATATTTTTTATTGTCTATATTCAAACATTCACAGCCAGTGTGCATTTCACAATATTCATCATTTAGATGTTTATCGTCCTCGTAATTATTTACAGATATTTTAAGAAACCGAATCAACAGACAGGAAATGTTGGTTAAATGTGATGTTTAATATGTTAAAGCATTGGTTATTCCTGAAAAAAAAAAAAAAAGATTACAAAAGAGGTGCAAGATCTCCTATTTTTTAACACTGAGTACATACAATATTTATAGGAAGATCTGAAACTTTATATATGTTCACTAATTATTCATGCGCAAGAAGCGCTCGGACATTCATTTACTAAGAACCATTACTTCCCAGTGCCTTCTTCAAGCCATTGTCCTAGAAAAATAACAGAATTTGGAGTTGAGCTGTGTTGAGTGGCTCGGTGGAGCTCGATCCGGATGAGCAGCGCTCTGAATAACAGTTGCAGAAGAAAACCAGTCGTTTGACATCTTTGCTTATTTAGAAATTGTGTCAAAGTGGGAAAAAATAGAAGCCATCAGATTTAGAGTTCATCCCCCTCCCTCTCCTCCGCTCGTTCTCTTGCTCAGATCCGATCCTACTTCTGTGCCGACTCGCCTTCTTTCCCCTTGTCGTCTGTTTTGTATTCCAGGAAGAAGTCGTTGCAGGCGACCGTGAGGGCCCCCATCAGAATGATGAACTCCGTGAAGTCCACCTCCCCGTCGTTGTTGGCGTCCAGGTCGTTCATCACTTTTTCTACCGCTTCGTTGTCTTTGGAGTTCTGTGAGAAAAGAACAGAAACACGGAAAATTAAGAATTTCTTCCCTGTTATTCTACTT